TGGTAATTTTACACTATTACTAGAGTAAAAAGCTTAAGTTGATACTCTGACTTGTTAAAAGTGTTTTAAACAGTAGGAACAATCGAATGGACATTTCGCTTCCCATTTAGGATGTTTTTTCAATTCAAAATGTCACAAATAACATTGAGTTCGAAGCTTTATATAGTAGCCCAAAAACCTTGGCTTAGAAAACATGCAAATTGTAACAGAAGGACGGGTCAGACCTGTATCCAGTATTGGGTATTGCAGGCTGTTTCAATTTGCATATTTTCCAGGCCAAAATAAGTTTCTGGGCTACTCTATACAGCCTCGAACTCAACGCAAATTCTGACATTGTGAATTGAAAAAGCTTCCTGGATGGGAAGCGAAACATCTTCAAACTTTGAAACCAAGTCAAGTGGATTATTTTTTTTTTACTTTTTGGAATATCTATGACCTGGATGACTCAGAATCTTCACCAGCAAACAGTAGGATTTATACTTCTACTTGAGTAATAAAAAGGTTTTACACCTCTGTGACCAAGACATAACAATGCACCAAAAAGAAAGGCCAGGAAAAGAGAACATTATTTGGTGGAGCTACCAGAAGACCCTTTTTTTGTAATAGAGGTGCAGAATAGATCCAAGTCACATGTGGGAGAATCTAATAGGTCATGCATTTTTCATACTAGGGTTTGTAGCATGATTTCTTGCAATGAAAGGAAGCTACGAGGCAAGTCAAGGGTGCAACAAGGGGGACAAGGAAAACCTGGTGAAGAAGAATCCTCTGGTCAGGAGGGAAACCAGAGTAAAAACATTAAAACTGCTCTCCAGAGAGTCAACATTTTGGTCAACATCAACATCATGCCACGGGAATGCTTTGCCAATGATGAATTATTGTGGATTTTGGAGAAGATGGGTGGAGCAATCCTGAAATAAAACCTGTTAGAGGACCCAAAAAGGTTCAAAAGCCATAGGCTTTGCTTCCAGTAAGACAATGGCCCACAAATCATAGATTTTCTCCATCTCATTTGTGGTAGCCCTTTTGCAAAGACTGGGCAAGATTTTTTTTGACAGGATGTGCAAAGCTGTTAAAATGTTGTAAAAATAGTTTTTCTTTAAGAATTTTTGGTTTTTTATTGAATAAGATACAAAAAAAGGCTGTTAAGTTCAAATGAATGTAAATAAAATATCGTCTCACGCAAACATTGCCATATTGTTTACACTGTAATGCCATCTATTCCATCCATCCATTTTCCGTCATGCTTATCCCAAGCGGGGTCACAAGGGTTGCTGGTGCCTATGTCCAGCTGTCTACAGGCGAGAGGCAGGGTACACCCTGGACAGCTCGCCAGTTAATCGCAGGGCAACACAGAGACAAACAACCATTTATGCACACACACCTCACACCTAACGAGAATTTAGAGAAGCCAATTAACCTAACAGTCATGGTTTTGGACTGTGGGAGGAAGCCGGAGAGAACCCATGCATGCTCAGCGAGAACATGCAAACTGCAGAAAGACCCCGCGCCGGGAATCCCACCCGGAACCTTTTTGCTGCAAGGCAGCAGTGCTACCCACTGTGCTACAGAGCAGCCCTGCACTGTAATGCATTCTGGGCTAGATCCTAAAGCTCTAACTCCCTTTAGCCAAAACAGCAACGAGTAACGTTAAACCTTTCAATTTTGAGCTGGACCTCATTAAAATCGATGACATTGTAGAAATTACAAGAGGTACTGAAAATGAGGAAGACAAAACGGGTATATATGGGTGAAAGATATTACAAAGTAAAAATAATTATTGGACTAAACATGAGTTTTTAAATACCACACAAAGGAAAACTACAACACATTTAGTCCAACATTCTCCACTACTGGGGCTGCACAGTGCCACAGTTTGGTCACGGTTGCCGTGGGTTAGACTCCCGTTCCAGGGTATTTCTGCAACAAGTTTGCATGTTACAATACATGCGTGGGTTTGCTCTGGGCACTCTGGCTTTCTCCTACAGTCCATAAACGTGACTGTTTGGCTAATTTACGTCAATAAATTGTCCTTAGGTATGTGTGTGTCTCTGTGTTGCCCTGCAACCTGTCTGGCATGTACTCCGCCTTTAACCCATAGACTGCTGGTGATAGGCATCAGCCCCGCCGTGACCCTGACGGATAAGTGAGAGTAGCTGGATGGATG